ACAATTTCCGTTATCATGCCCAATATTATCACTTTGTCTTTTCTTTTCGCCTACTTTGTGTATAATTTTTTTTTAACTATGAAATTTATGACAAATTTATGCAGTATCATTTACAGGCTTAAAAAAATTCTACTCTAATGGGGTAAAATCACACACAATGAGACATACATGTTCGTAATACAAGAAATATATAGCATCCATGCATAAGGAGTAGAGCTACAACGTATAAGAATGAAAATATCCTTAATAGCTATTCTAATGTTGTACAGCTTGTGAAGTCATCCTTAAGATTGAATTTTTCCTTTTTTTTACTCTGTTCGTTTTACGATTTTTTTTTTGTTGTTTCTTGCATGCATGAGATTTATAAAATAAGAAAAATTATGCCTGTTTCTAATAGACCGTTTAGAATTGTTAATGGAGATGTTAGGAAGTGATTTTTTTGAGTTTTTGGTTATTATTTTTCATTATTTCATTTTCTTCATTGAATTAATAAAGAAACTTAAAAAAATTATAACGTGATAGTATGATAGTGAGTAAAATGTGGAAAATGTTAGTAAAATTTAAAAATTTAATGTATAACAGATTTAATTTTTATGGTATTTTCGGATTTATGGTGCTTTACAGTATTAGAAAATTATATGTATTTATAATTTCTTGTTTTCTTTAATTTCAATTAAATTGAATTCGATATTTTAGTTATTTATATAGTAAGATTAATATAAGATAGTAGGAATCTGATTTGTGGAATTCTTTACTACATCTATTTAAAAAGCGTGCCTTGAGAGTTGTGTAAATAAGATTTTCAAGGAAATTTAAAATTATTTTAATTATAAAAATAAATAAAATTGTCGATTTAAGTCTCTCACTCGCTTACAAAATTTTTCAACGTCTTTATTTAAAAATCAAATAAGATTGGATCAGACTGATGGTTCGTAAAGTAGCGCATTTCTCTTTCCTTTTAGAAACAAGAAACTTTTAGGAACAAGACTACTGTTTCTAAAAACAATTTACCTCATTATTTAAATTAGTTTCATTGTTACATCAAATTATATATAAAAATATTGCATAAATTTAGGATGATAAAAAAAAAATTTAAAGATGCATTAACATAATGTTTGAAATGTGACAGTTAAGCACGTGAGTTATGAAAAATAATTATATATTTTTCGATTGAATGAGATTTACCATAATAAGACTGAAACTGAAATTTTACAAATTTCGAAAGGCGATAATTTTATAGGGGATCGAGTTAGAAAACAATTTCCTGTTAGTATAAATAACTGTTTACTAGTATCTAAAACCTCGTCTAGAAGAAATGCTGCACCAAAAATTCCAAAAAAACGGTTTTAAATAACGATTAGCAAAGCTGTGCCGAGAAAGGAAAAAAGCACCACTACATATCTGCCTTTGCAGAATTTAAAAAATGTTTATGGTTTAAGGGCCTATAGCTTTTAGAGAGGGAGAGATAAGTAAAAGATTTGTTGTAAGGAATTAAATTTTTAGTAAATTTCTATTTATATATACATATCTATTTATATTTTCAACATTCTATCTTAAAGGATGTAGAAGTTTTGCAAACGGACACGCGACCAGGCGGATGGATGAACTTTTTCCAATATTTTCTCGGAAAAGTGCCCAAAATTGGAATTTTAAGTTGTTGTCACGATCAATATTCGAAAATATTATAATTGTAAAAAATTCGATTTATTTTTTGTTTAGGAAATTTTAGGAGAAAATTGCAAACAATATTCTCCTAAAATTTCCCATATATACATATATCATTGGGGATTTTTGTCTAATCAAAAATGTTCTATTTTCAAATTAGAGAAGAGTTTCAATTGGCTTTACATATTCATTCTAGGATTTTTTTTCAACAGTATTATCCAAAAAAAAAGTTCAAGACTTGCACATTTCGAACAAAGTCGCTACTTTCAAAGAAAACCTTGCGGTATACCCATACATATTTTTCATACAAGAATTCGAAAATAATCCATGGAACATGGAAACATTTTTATAGAATCTAGTTGGAAATTTTATGAGTTTGATCAATTAGGTTTCTGATTACTGTTTAATAAACACTAAAAGTAAATATCAAAATGTTAATTAAATTAGTTTTAGGAATTTAGATCATGAATTACATGTCATTATATACAAAAGTAAGTTTATATTTGTATTTAAAACAATCAGGAACATTAAGAAATTTGTAAATAGTTATTCCAATTATTAATAATTTAATTTTTGTTTCATTTTCTTCTAATTCACTTTTTGTGGTATATTTTTCTTTGAAATTTTAAAAGAAAAAATTTTCTTTCAATTTTACTAGCAATGTTGTTTCTTGTATTATAAAATACCCTATGGGCCATTCATGCCTAATCAAATGCAATGACTATAAAAATTCTAATTCAGAAAATGCTGAGTACTTAAGGAAAAATACTTTTTTATTCTGATTCAGATTTCTTTTCGTTTTTTTTTTATTTTTTATTTTTTTCTTACTTATTTAAAACATGGACATTTAAATTTTCCTTAAAGGAAAGAAAAAGAAAATAAGAGTAATAAAAGCATGAAAAAAATATCGAATAGAAAAATTTAATTTAAGATGAAAATATACAAAAAAAAAAAAAAAGAATTTTATAAAATTCTTGCTAATTCTAAAGTATAGTCGCACTTTTTTACGGCAGTACTTATAAATTTTTCATATTTTGGGTATAAGTCTGCAGGCATACTAAACAAACTTAAACTCAAAGTATGTGAGCGAAATTTTTCAATCAGACCAAAAATTTATTCTCAAGTTTCTTCGACTTTTCCAAAAAACGAAAATACAATAGAGTTTTGATATTTTAAATTAGACATATGAGCTCATACGACACAACATATGAACTTATATGAATTTTTTAATACTTGTTTTATGTACTATACTGCTGTTCTCATTCTATTATACTTATACTTTACTTGATTTCGTACTGACACCGAAATACATAATATTATAAATATATTATAAAATATTAAAAATTATAGGAACAATGCGTTAGAAAAATCGCGAAAATGCGTTAAATAGAGCATTTGGAAAATTGCAAAAATGCGTTAAATAGAGTAGTTTACACAATGATTAATTTAATAATAATTTCCGCATAAATTAAACGTATATGAAATAGTATGGTTCCAATTCGTTAATTTTTTTAATTTATAATTTATAATAAATTTATAATAAATTATAATATATTTATAATAAATTATAATTACTTAATTATAATTTATTAATATGATATTATATTAAATTCGTCTTACTCATGCCTAAAATAATTTTAACAATTTTTTCAATTAGTTGGAATAAAATTTTAAAATATTTACGCATGTTCCTTACATTCTCTGGAATTCATATTTCATTTGTTGTACACTTAAATAACAAACTTCTGCAAATTACAAATTTCTTATATAAAGAAATATTAAGGGTATGCACAAAAACAAATTCACACTCTTATCAACCGCCTGAAATTTCGCGCTCATAATATCATACTGCAAAAATTTTAAATTCCAGTTGTATTATAAACGTAATGCTGCCACTGTAACAATTATGTGTTCTTAAATTGTAATATAATTGAATGTTAATATTTTAAGGGAAAGCAAAAATATATAAAATAAAAAATATAAAAAGGAAATCTGATGAAAAAACATTAGGGAAAAGTGTTTACAAGTTCGTTACTTTATTGTTAAGGACAACAGTAGCAACAACTGCCGAACGGAAAAAATTTTCCATGTTTAATTCTGATCTTCTCTTTTTCTTTATGTTTTTTAGCTAATAGAAAAAAGAAACTTTTTAAAAACTTTATTTTTTTTAGCACATTTTAAATGTTTTTCTCAGATTTTATTTAAAAATGAGAAAGTTTTTCTATTTTCCTATGTAACATGTTATATAAATACATAAATACATACTTAATATTTTATATTTAAATTTAAATTCATTTCCTTTCATTCACTTCTTTTCCTCTCTATTCTTTTTGGAATATAACTTTATAAAATTTATTCTCAGTAGTGCAAGAGTTTTGTTAAGAGTTTTCAATTTTAATGATGGCTATAAATAAAATTCAAATAAAATAATATAATACTTTTTTTTTTTCTTAAATAAATAATAGAAGAAATTTAGCGTAAAAAGTTTTAAAGCATTTCATTATGTCATTATATAATTATTTATTTACAGATTAAATTTCTTTTGGACAGAAAAAATGCAGATCTCAGTTATGAAAGAAGAGTTTGTAAAATGGAACAGTTTAGATTTAGTTTATGATTTTAATCTAATGTAAATGATTTTCTTAAAAAAAGTATTTCACAGTTTCACAATGAGCTCATGTAATAGTATGCTACCATATTTAGTAATAATTTTAGAGTTAACCGGTATATACTAAAAAGGTAATCACAGTACCGATTTAAAAACAAAAATGTACCTAAATCAACTACACATTATGTCAGCCTTAAACACATAATATGGAAAATGATTCATAAATTTTTTATATAAGTAAAAGTACCAAAAGTAATAAGCAATCAGTGGCTAAATTTCAAATATAACACATTGCAAACAAGAAATTCAAGTTTCATAAGAAATTAAAATCACATTTTTAAATGTAACTTTACACTTATGTCCGAGTATGGGAAAAATAATTACAGCAAAAAATCACGTGTTTTAAGAAAGTTTTACAAGCAACTATATATATAAAAATTAAGATTTAGATGTAAGGGAATTTACTATAGTCTAAAATGTTAATAAGAAGTAAATATGAATTGCCAATTTTGGTCATTAATTTAAAATTTTTTAATAATATTCCATACTAAGGTTCTCTTGCCTTAAACAAAGATTGGGTTATTAAATTTCTGAAATTACTTTCATAAGCATAAATATTAATAAAAAATACTGCAAAATACAAATTATTAAACTTATTTTAATTTGCAAGAAAAAATACAAATATTAATGAAAATTACTTATTAACTACGATATTTATATGCAGACATCGCTATCAATATATTCCCGTTTTATCTTTAATCCAATTAACATATGGTGCAACTTTTGTAAATACTGCAGGCCATCCTTTTTCACAACCACGTTTATAACCAAATGATGTTATACCAATTAAAACTTTATCAAATCCATCTTTATTTAATACTAATGGACCACCAGAATCACCAGCACAAGTTGATCTTCTTGATGGACTTGCTGCACAAATATTTGTTTCACGTATCGGTACTGATGTATAACGATTTTGACATGTACCACGATCAATAATTGGTAATTGTACAACTCTTAATACTCTTGAAAGTGCTGATACCGAATCTGAAAAAATACCCCAACCTGAAACTGTTGCCCATTTACCAACATATGATACTCTACGATTGTGTTTTGGTAAATCTATTGTTTGTACTTTTTCTTTAAAATATTAAAATGTTAAATATTATGAATTTGGTATACATATATTTAAAAAAGAATCATTATTATTTTATTTTTTTTATATAATTTTATTTAATACATTACCATCTAAAAGTACTGGTTCAGGTAATTTTATTAAAGCTATATCATTAGATAAAGTTCGGCCACTATAACTTTCATGTTTAATTATATTACTACGACTAGTTTTCATACGAGAACAGTCTTTTGTACGATCATGACATCCAACGTAAATCATAACTTCTCTTCCTCTAAAATAAGATGTTAAGAACTATCTAAGAAATTTTATTGAAAAAAAATTAACCCTTAATTGCGGTTTGTGCTATAAATTATCCGGAGATTTTTTTCAGCCGTGAAATATTTACTTTGAAAAATATTTTTTTTTAAATTTTTGTTAATGTCAAATAATTTTTTTTATTTTATATAACGTAATTTAAATTTTTCATTTAGAACAGAATTTCTAAATTTGCAAAAACAAAACAAGCCTATAACATCGAAAACCATTTTTAATATCGTAAATTTAAACTAGTTTTTGCAGGTAGTTTTTAAAATTTCCAAACCAATATTTTACGAAGTTCCAGGCGATTCATCATAGTTTCGCTTCGATGATTTCATATCTATAAATTTTTATTTTAACTAAAAGTGCAATTAAGGGTTAATAAAAAAATTGTAATCCTAGCCTCCATAATAAGAGAAAATTGTGCAAAATAAAGTAAAAATGTATAGTTATACTTACTAACTTTTTAACACAGTGTGCAGCTGTTAGAACCCATTCTATCTAATATAAAAATATATGAAAATTCAATAGGAAATCAAAACTTTACTTCTTCGAACAGTGAATAATTCTATAAACATTATTTTAGCCAAATCTCTTGAAAATTTTCTGTACACATATAAAAGAAAATTTCATGTTTGTCAATTAAAGCTCCTACAAACTAAGAATAGTGACGACACCAGAATTTTAACAAAACATTTTTATTCATTTTATTTAACAATATTTGTAAATTGGATATTAAGTGTGAAATTCGTAAGTACGAGCAAAAATTTTTAATATAGAAATTTTTTCATTGGAACAACTAGAATTCAAATAAAAGTGAAATTAGCTTGAATTCGACAGATAATATTAAAAAAATTTCCAGTAAAGCAACAATAATTATAATTGTATGGTTAATCTGTCAAATATCTTATTAAATAATTTTTTATAACAAGAAAAGTCTATTTTGCAAACAAGTACTGCAATATTAAACTTTTGATTAAAAATGCAATTATCTTTTTTCTTACAATAAAAAGTTATAGCAAAAATACTTACTTTAATAATTAAATATCCTTCGCAAGATTTGGATAAGAAGAGCACGCGGAAATCACACAATGTCGCGTAGAAGAAGTATATTGAAAAACTTTATATACGCGACATTAACGATTAGCGCGAGCAAAATTATTGTAATAAATAAATGCAATGTGACAACCTATATCGGTTTCAAATATTTATTTAGATGCCCCACAGAACAAAATTCAAAATTATGCAAATATTTTTTAATCTGTTTATTTTAACCTAGCGTGTTTTTTGTAAAAGTCCAAATTTTTAAGATTTTTACAAATAAAAAAAATTATTATTATCAACTATAGAATTTTCACTATCTGAAGAATTTTTATAATGAAATTTTTATTACTTTCTTTTTCATTTAAAAAAAAACTCTTACCGAAATTAAAGCTCCACCACACCATACAGTTTTTCCAGAATCAGTTAATATATGTAATCCAACTGTGAATGGATGTGAATGAGGTATTGCTTCTTCACCACCTGTTATTCTACTTTCAATCATTTTTGTTGCTTGAATTGATATTTCCTCAAGAAACGGTACATATTCATATTCATAAATTTCAAGGGATGACCCACAAATAATTATTATTAAATTCATTAAAATTTTCAATATAATTTTCATTATATTTTCAAAAAATTTAATTAAAATTAAATTATATTTAATTTTCACTCTTCTGAAACACTGTACGAGTATATAATATTTTTAATAATAATGTTATATAACATGAATTTTTTATTTTAAATTTGTTATACTTGTTTATATTATTTTTATTCTTATTTTTTTTTTATAAATTTTCTTATATAATTTCTATTTTTTTCTTGTTCGAATTTTCAAACTAATGCATTTTATAAAATGATAATTTCCAATGAATGAATTGCATTTTTAATAGACTTCATTATTGAAATGATTTTAATTTCTTCTATTAAAATATTTTACTTTTTCTGATTATTTTTAATAAAACTAATTTTAACTTTCGTTTTCAAATGTAACGATTGAATTACGGCCTGATTTAAATTAAACACTTCTATTTATATACTTTGGTTTTTTTTTTTTGCATGAAAACAAAAATTGCATGAGTTTTTAAAGATTTTAAATGAAAAAGAAAATTATTTTTTAGTTTTATTATTAAGGAAATGGTTTTAGTACATTTTCATTACGTTTATATACTAAAAGCTCTCTTTTTCTTTTATATTTTAAAACCACAAACACACATTTATTATTCTTGTTTCTTTTTTTTTTTTTGCTCCAAATCAGATCAAGTTTAATTTCTTTACTTATGGCCTATACTCTATTACACACATTATTGATCTACTATCATAACATATCAAATAAATTAAATGTTATAACGGTAATTGCTTATATTGAGAGAGAAGAAATAAATAGATTTAACTAGAGTGAGTGTTACATGTTTAATTAAAATGCATGTGCACTTACATACATCGTAAACTTGTACCTACATTTACATTACATTGTAATTTTCTTACATTATAATTAGGTATAATTTTTTTCTTCTGTTTTTCTATTTTTGTAATTTTATTATGTAATAATGATAGTTGTAACAAGAATCAGACATATTTAAACTAATTTTCACTAGTACATGCTATATATTAATTAAATATAATATTTTTAATTATTAAGAGTTAAAAACTTGTGAATTTATAAATAAAGAAGCTATTAATGGGCCTCAAGAAGCATTATAAACCTGTATTGACCATCAGTAATGAGATACTACTTTTTTAGCGAAGAATATTTAGAAGTAATATAGTTTTGGGCCCAATAATTGCTTAGTCGAGCTAATTATCCAAAATTCTAATAATATAATCGTGTGGGAAATCTAAAGAAAGCTTCATTCAGCTGCAAAAATTTCCATACTATTAAGTTTTACCATCAATATATTTCGTAAAGTGCACACAAAACTATAAAATGTAAACATTAACACCTCCAATTTAAAGTGTTAATTTAATTTTTCAACTAATTTATCGATTTATTGATAACTTGTATACGCATATATGCAATACAAATTTAAATTTATTGACCGAATGAATTTTAATTTTTCAGAATTATTTAATTTCTTCTATACCAATATTTTTTATTGTACCAATACACTTTTTAATTAACTAGCTGATTGTATAAAATTTTTATAATTTTTTGTTCTCGAAAAATTTTTACAAAAATGTTCACACTCTATGTCATATTCATATACAATATAAAATATTTATACATTTAAAAAGCATTATCAGACATCCGGGAATAATTCAATAAAATGAAAATACTTTTAATTTTAATTATTAAAAGTTATTTATTGAATTGTTTGGATGCAATAATATAATTTTTAAATCATAAATTTATAAGGCACTTATAATTAAGTTGGGAATATTAAAGAAAAAAGAAAAGAAAAAGTATGTTCAACAAGTTGGGCCAATAAAGTGGGGTATTTATGGACTTTATTCAGAAATCAACTTTAAAATCTAAATGAATAACAAAATTTAGATAAAGAACATTATAACATGGACGTAAGCCTGAGTGAAGTATTGTCAGTAATTTGGCATTCGGTTAACATTAACGACATAATTTCACCTCAGAATATTATTTAATAAATTTTCAAAGTTATCCTTATGAGCTGTATGAACATAGGTATTGAATTTATTGCCCAATAATAAATATTTACAGCTATCGTATATAAAATCTGAAAATCAAAAATAAGCCAATTTTTCAGAAATTCAAATATATATACATATCAGCGAATTTTATTACCGTATGCAAGTATAAAAAAAAAAACAGAATTAACTGATAAGATATTAAACTAATCAATCACATAATATAGAAAATCCATAGAACTAAATTTCATATAAAAAGTGTAATTTTTAATTAGTATAACCTGGACAATTCTCTTTACAACAACTTAAAAAATTGTTTTTGTTTTGCAATATTATTAATGAACTATGAGAAATTCGTTGTTAATTCTAATCATAATAAATTTCACATTACTATTTTGTTTACCAATTGAAGAAACGAACGATTGCAAAAGTAATATTCCAGAGTTAGATGAATTTATAACTGGTGGACATGAAGCTGTACCAAATTCTTTACCATATCAGGTTGCTTTAAGTTTAAGGAAATATAATGGAATTTCAACATTATGTGGAGGATCTTTAATATCAAATCAATTTATTTTAACAGCGGCTCATTGTTTGAATAAGTCAGTTCATTAACAATTTATTAAAGAGCAAGGCCAATTATAATAATTTACAAATATTCTCAATATTTTTTAGTACAAGACTATTATATGCATCGTTAGGGGCACATGATTTACGATTGGAAAGTCTAAGGATTCAAATTGAAAATAAATATTTTAAAATTCATCCAAATTTTGATCCAATTTTATTTAAAAATGATGTTGCTTTAGTTAAACTTCCTGAACCTGTTGATTTTAATGGTAATTTCACTTTCACTTTTTTAATAATTTTTAAATGTATATAAAAATTATGATTTTTATAGAAAAAATTCAACCAATTAAATTACCACAAAATGATAAAGAAAATTTTGAAAGAACTGGTATATCAGCAGTTGCTTCTGGCTGGGGTAAATATAGTGATGACTGTAAATTTACTTCATACGTTTTAAGATATGTAGAACTTGAAGTTCTAAATCGACAAAGTTGTTTAGAATTTTATAATACAACTGTACTTAAAGCTGAAAATTTATGTACAAATGGAAGTAATGGAAAATCAACATGTGTTGGAGACTCAGGTGGTCCGTTGATCGCATTTAATTCTAAAAATGAAAAAATTCAAATTGGTATATCATCTTTTGGTAGTCAGGAAGGATGTGAAAAAGGTTTTCCAGCGGTTTTTACAAAAATAACATCATATTTAAATTGGATTAATGAAAATATTCAGGATTAGCAAAAATGCTGAAAGTTGCAGTTAACTGTATTTTTATTGAAAAAGTAACTTGGAACTGGTTTAACTTAATATATACGTTATTGAGACTAAATCCTTTAAATTTTAACTTCAACATTTTATAAATAGAAAAATAATTTTGAGTAATAATCATTGCATTGAACATATTAAAACTCTTAAAATTCAATAGTCTGCTAACTCTAATTTTCCGTTTAAGTTCGAAAATCGTTTAATTATCTTTTTTGTCGCATGATATGCAATGATATCATAAACCATCTAATTCAAGATATAATCTTAAGGATATTGCAAATAGATATCACCTTATACTAACTGGAATTCCATAGATATGTTTCCAAGTTTCAGTGATTCCTAAGGGTTTGCAATAATTAATGTTAAGCAGGTTCAGCATTTAGAAGCCACAGAAGAACTGTTTCTTAACATAATTTACGTATTTGTTGGAAATTCATGATTTAGATAGATTATGAAGGTATTAATATATTCACGGCAAAATAGAAAATTTTCATGTGTTTTTTGCGCCACTTTAAACATATTCGTTAGTTCCATTACATCATTTAAAATTGAAATATAAATTTCAAATTCGAACAGACTATTTATAAATATAGCCGAGTTAGAGTTATGAATGACAAATAAGCTCCACAAACAAATAAAATAGCTTAATTGAATATTTTTTCTATTTTGTTCTTTTTGTTCAACAACGCATTTTATTTAAAAACATTTGTTTTATAATTTTATTACGGTGTGCTACAAAACAAAATAAAAACAAATTTGTGTTGATAAAAAGTCCAACATAAGTACATACAAACAATAAAGATAATTCTCTTGAAATTCAAAAGTCAATAAATCAATTTAATTAGACAAGATGGTAATCTTATATAAGCTTATCAAAAGTAATATTATACTGCAGGCTTTATTTTGTTTTTAAGGTATAAATTATTTCTATAGATAAAATATGAGCACGTACAAAAAACCGTGAGAATTGATAGATTATTGTTTGTAGAATGCGATATTGTGCAACACAACTCAATAGAATGCACTACATATCTATAGCCAAAGGCATAGTGGCTAAAGCAATTGCCAGCTACTAATCTTGCTAATGAATTCAAGTATCCCCTAGAGGTTAATTTCCCATTGTCTATCTGCCTCGAGATTCTATATCTTTTTTTGATCAATTTTTTATTCTAACAAAAAAATTCATCACACTATGAAAAAAGATATTTGAAGGACGCCAATTAATTAATAGCTTGCATTTCAATACTAGCTCAATATAATTGGTTTTCGATTCAAATTCTACTGAACCACTTCCCAATGAACTTCCTGACTCATAATTATATCAATTAATGGTCTATGAGCTTAAAGATTTACCTTTCGAATCCTTCAAGACACTCCCAAAAAACATTTTCTTGACAACAATTGCAATTCAACTATATTAAAGCTAAATTATTTTTCTCAATGATTAAATAAACAAAATCCTCCGTTTTAATTATGCAGAATTTTCTTAAGAAAATTGAAAATTCATCAGAAAAATAAAATTAAAACATTATTCTAAAAATATCACACTTTTAACATTACGTATTATATACATAAATATCACAATATGTTTTTATATATTGTAGTATACCTATTTCATTTCAACAAAAAGTATACCATCAAACCCTACTTGCATACAGACATACTTTTAATTTCAATAAAACCTAATTTAAAATGTACACATGCAACACCAATAAAAAAATTTATTTCAATCCTGCATTTTATTAAACACGAGTATACTCTTATAATGTGTGTAGTGTTGTAGTATACATATACACATACGTGCATTCGTATATATAGAATATTGAAAAAGAATACTGAACATTAAAAATGAAACTTTCTTTTCAATCATCCTTTTTGACATTGACAAAAACGTCTTTTCTTTCAATCTTAATTAACTCTTCATCACAATATGTACTCAATGTACTTAAAACTCATCTACATGTATACATATAAATATTCTCTTTTCGTTTTATTTTATATTTAGATAATACGACATTTAAAGCTTCGAACTTCAAATATAGCAAAAAAAAAAAAGAAATATGATAAAGAAATGCTTAAAAAGAAAATAAAAATAATTATAATTGAAAAGAAACAAGATTTTCCCCTTTTCATCCTTATATAGTTAGATTCGCTATATAATTGTAGTGGTATACTTATGTATATATATATATTTGTATACACAATATGTAAAGGACGTAAATTGAATAAAATTTTATTGTAAATCAATCACTTAAAGGCAATTTTCAAATATAAGCAAAGGAAAATTAAAGCTTTAAGCGTTAATCTAAAAAGGAGTTACCAGATATTGACAATATTTATTTTCAAAATTATAACCAAAAATTATGTTATTACAAAATAGTGATTAAATTGACTTCATTGGCATAAATACTTTCAGCACAATTCTAAATGTACCCATTACCTTGTCCCATTTCATTAACTTGATTGTAATTTTTGTATTTGTAAACAAAAACAACAACAACTAATTTAAAATCCAAAAGCAAAGCTTTACATAAATATAACTCGCATGGATCGATGTCTGTCATTTGTTAAAAAAAGTGGTAATGAAATATGTGGAAAAATTTATAAGGCAGGAAACCATTAAAACATTGCTGCAACATTAGTTTAGAATTATTTTATGCAAAAATTCCGTATGTATGACGAATACTCATAAAATACAGGAAAATTGTGAATTGCAGTCAGCATTATTGTGTAGCTCATTTGACATATTCAACTAACAAATAAACAATTGATATAACCTAAAAAAACTCTTGATTTTTTGTGGCTAGATTAATGAAAAATTATTTTTAAAATAAATTATTTCGTAAGTTCTAGAAGAATTAATACACCTCACTAAATAAATTAGTGATTTAGAAGATCACTAGAAGGGAGAAGGGTCATTTTTCATTTTCAATTAGATGTCTCTTCGAGATATGGTCACACTAATATTGTTAATTCTTTCTTATCACTATAACAACAAGCATACACCTTAAATACATATACGAGTATACACTATTCACTGTTGAGTAAAGTTTGTACAGTAATCTTACGGTAACCAATGCTCTTACTCATTTTTTTTTTTGTAATCTCAAATAATATAAAATTGAAAATACTAAATTTTAATAATGACGACGACATTGATAATGATGACAACTGGTACTAAAATGACGGCGACATCTTTGATTCTACTCCATTTAGTTTCTTGAGCCCAATTATTTGAGTAAAATTTTTTTCTTGTCTTGTGTTTTTTTTTGGTATTTTACTTCCAAGTGCTTTATATTTTATTGATTACTACTAGAACTACTTAACATTTATTTGTGCTTTTTCGTTATTTTATTTTTTGTTTTCATTTTTATTTTCTACTTACAATAACATTGTTATTATTGAAGGATGTCTCTAGGATTCTACTTAAGAAAATTTATATAGAGATGTTGAAGAAAAAGGAACGTTCTTCTGTTATTTTTATTTCGTAGAACGAGAATAAAATCACTAACAAAATATAGAAATAATAATGATAAAAAAAGAAGCAGGAAAAATAAGAAGAACATAAAAAATAAGTATTGAACAAATGTCATTCTAATGTTATTTGTTGAACGATATCCTGATGAAATAATTTTAAATTGAAGAAGGTAAAACATAATAACAATAATAATAAGAAGAGTAACGGTAAATGACTTAACTTGAACATGCGAAAAATATTTCAAAATTGGAAGTCAGGGAAGAGCAAAAAAAAAAAAAATAATGATTACTTCGTTTATTTTTGCAAATTGAGACATTTTCCTCGAATTTCCCAAGAGATTTTTTTTTTTCGTGTACCGTCGTATTGTAGCCGTCGTCATCGTTATCATCGTCATCATTATTATTACTATTTACATTTAATGCTGATGTTTATTTATTATTTATACTTTTTTTCCAATTTTAATTTTTTTCTTCTTTTTATACTTTATTCTATTGCTTACTTACCATTATTTTCATTTTCTATAATTTTTAATAATAGAAAAAGAAAATACTCGAAAATTGATGTATAAGAAATATATATGTATACGTATGTGTGTGTGATTATAGTAAAAATGCCAATTTCAGGTAATAAAAGATAAACAATAATTATTTATAAAAGATTTTTTAAAAATATTTTAAAAAAGTGAATGCATAAGATTCTTTCTCATAAATTTAAAATTGCATGATGTTTTACTTTAGAGATTCTAGTATCTTTTAGATTTGGCTTGACACGATTACAGATTTTCTTTGAGTTAAATTAGCGTAATTGTTATTATACTCGTATGAATTGAATTCAAAGTACACTACAGGAGTTCGAATATAAGGAGGAACAATCAAATATTTTGAAATATTAAAATAGAGTGCAAATAAATTTTAATTAAATACAAGTTTCAATTATAAAAAGTCCTGGTGAAGAAAATTTGGTAATTATTAAATATTGTAAAAAAACTTATTTAATTAATAAATAAACACAAAAATAAAATTTTTAACCAGTGCCAAAACTTAACTTAATTTTATATCACACCGAGTATTTAAATTAAATTTGTAGAAGAGAATAACAAAATGTTATGCTCAGTTGAAATCCAACAGTTTTGTTTCAAAAGCCTGATTTTTATGAGAAACATGTTGTATCACATCGTATGGGCAGTGAGAAAATCTTAAATATTAGCTAAAACCGGTACCCACAGGCGTATATGAAACAAGTTTGTGTTGAGTCTCTTTATATCAGCTGTGAATATTTGTAAAAAGTAAATATTACACTTCTGCCAAAGAAAACAGAAAATCTCTTGGCAATATTTAAGGTAAGCTTTTTTTCTTCATGCCCACTGATAGCCATGGGAGTCAACCTAGTTTCCTTCAAAAATTACGGGATTCAATCTAATTTGGTTTCCTTAAATAATTTTGATATTAAAAGACAAATGAACAAGAAATTTTACTTCAAACTTCAATTTGAAAA